CCTCCCAGACCAGGGCTCGAACTCGTGCCCCCTGCATCGGCAGGCAGATTCTCAACCACTATGCCACTAGGGAAGCCCCAAACAGATTTTTATAAATATTTTGTCTAACGTTTCTTGTTCCTAGCACAGAGTTTGGTCTGAAACCAGGTAACCCACCATTGCTGGAAAGAGAAATTATGCTGAAGAAATTTAAATCAAAACTCAGTCATTACATCATTTTATCTATGCATACTTCAGTTTGTATCTCTGAAAAATGTGGACGTTTTCTTACCCACAATGCCATTTCATGTTCAAATTTCCTAGATTGACTCAGAAATGTCTTTTCACAGTTGTTTTAAGATGCAAAAGGTCTACAAATTACATTTGACTGTTGTATCTCTTAAGTCTCTTTTAATCTAGAGTGTTCTCCTCCCCTGCCATCTTTTTCTTTTCACACCATTGACCTGTTGAAGGTCCTGGGTGAAGGTCCTGTAGAATTTCCCATATCTCGAATTTAGCTGGTTGCTTTTATTTGTTCCTCTGTCACTTGCTTTTCCTATGAAATGGAATTTAACTTTATGGGCTTGATTAAATTTAGTTTCTTTGTTTCTGTTTTTGTTTTTGGCAAGGATCCTTTATAGGTGGTGTAAAATCCTTCTTATTGCATCATATCAGATAGCATGTAATATCTGGCTGTCCCACTTTAGTGATGCTAAGACTGATCAGTGGGTTCAGATGGCAACAACCTAATTTATCCATTTAAAAATTTTCCATCATTCTTTGATCTACTGATTTCATCTAGTGATACTTTTTTTGTGGATTCTTCAAGAGTTGCAAAATGCTGATTTTTCTAATTCCATCATTAGAATTAGATTTCACATTAATCAGCTGAAATTCACATTTATCAGCTAAAATTCATACATTATAGCTCTTTGGTACTCTAAAATACAGTTTATACAGTCAAGTTAAGCTCTCGTTTTAAATTCAGTGATGTATTTTATATCAGTTCTAAAAAATAACCCTAACAGTAAATGGTTTTTCCTGTCATATAAATGTCAAAACTGCTACCTGTAATGAAGCAATGTGATTGGTAACTGCATCATGTGGAAAAACCTCAGCAAGACCTACAACATAGGTCCTGCCAACATAGGTCCTGCCATGTTTTTCTCTACCCCCTTTTAACTTGAGACATTCCAGTTCCCTGACCCTCAGCTTCCTTGTAGAATATGGCAGCAAGATCTTGGTGCTTATGGGTCTGAATTAAACTAGCATGTGTGCTGCTGCTTTTCTTTGCTTGTTTAAACACCTTCTTCCTATACACTTATTCACCTCAGAAACACCAAGGGCACTTTTTCCATTCTAGGCCCAGCATCCTGGACCACGTGATTGTTAGCACCGTACCCACGAAAAGAAAATTTATGACACCCAAACAAGTAGAATGCCTTGCTGAATGATTTTGTTATTACATAGTTGGCTTGTGTTTTTTGTGGCGGCATTTCAATTTCTGAATCTTGGAGTCAGCTCTGACTGCCAGACCCCAGCAAGTCTCCAGGTCATGTTGAATCAGCTGTAGGACATCTTTTGCATCAGATCCTTCTTTTCTGTTCTCATTACCACATCCTGACTCAGGTCTCTCTGCCTCTAGAGTCTCTTTTCCAATTTATCCTGTTTCCTATTCTGATGAAACACCCTCAGCCCCTCTGTAGTGCCCAGCTGCCTGCAAGCAAAGTCTGAACCTCCTAGCTTGGCATGGATGCCTCTGCACAGCCTGGCCTCAGGTGCACCTCCTCTCCCCCTCTTCTTCGCTGACGGTCAGATCATGCATTCACTGGCCCTTTGCCTCCAGCCTCCTGTACCGTTGCCAGGGCTACCCGCCCTTCCCATGCTCCACATGCTGTCCTAGCAGCCCATCACCTCTTCCAATCTGAACCAGCTCAAGCTCTGCTGCTCCAAGGAATCTCCCTGATCACTGCGGTCTCCACTGCTTCTGGAGCACCCATTGTCTGTGCCGTGGTCTGGCAGCTCTCACAGTCCTCTCTGTATCATAACTCAATTGCTTCATATCTGCAATTAGACTGTATCCTAAGCAAGGGCAGGGACTCACCGTGGGCTTCTTGCATCCTTTATGCACTGGGCACAGTACCTGGCCTCTCCTAGCTACTACACCTTCCCACTCGGACTCCTGTTTTAGTCCTTGCAGTCCTCAGGCATCCCTGATTCCTTCTCTGGTTCAGGCTCTCAGCCTGGCCTTGATTCCTGACAGTCCTGTGATTGAAGACCTCTTGCAGGCCTCCTCTCATCACTGTCACACACGGTAAAGTCGATGAAAGCCCACACCCTGCGTAGAGAACTTCTCCCAGCAGGAGTGAGCTTCACCGGTTTTCCTTGGGGTGCTATTCCAGCAAGTAATCATGATGCTTATTCCATATGTCAGCTGGGAGGCCTCCAGAAACAACCCAGGCACACAATCAGCACCCCTGCCAGAGCTGTTAGGCTGCTCCGTAAATATTTATGTGGAAGTCCCCCTCCCAGACACTTCCTCATCCTCTCCTGATTAAGCTCCACTTCATTTTTTAATATCTTTAAGCAACCAGAGCAAGTACCTTTCATGGAGTAATTATGCACCACTTTCTCTGCCACCATAGAACCAAAGATTTTCTTTCCTTCTGCTAACTGATGTGACAGACATCCACTTAATTGAATGATTATTAGTATGAAATTACATTTTGGCCTTTAAATTTAATTATGCCACATTCACAGCAATAAAATAAAGTTCCAAATGCAGGTGTGCTTTTCAAGGAAAGTGTCCAAGGCAATTAAGTACAGGGCAGTGGCGTCCTATATTTAAGCCTTTTGTCTGGGGATCTTAAAATCTTTTCCACACAAGTAGATAATGATGTTCATTTTGTAAGGGGGAGAGGTGATGTGACTGATCTCTTGGCATGCTCAGAAGACGACGGAAAATCCAGGACCCAGGTGTCCCCTTTGTTTCCCCCCTCCCCCCCCTTTTCAGTTCTTTAAAAGAAGCATGGCCGACCTTCTGTTAATTTAAATACCTCTCTCTGAGGTACTGCTTTCCACTTCTTTAAGAGCCTGAATGAAAAAAGTTTCTATATCACATTTCATGTGGGGAAGAGTTGAGGTTCAGGGAGAGGGAATGGTTTGTTGAAGACAGTATACTAATCAGAGAACATACATGTCTCTCCTGATAAAGCTACCTAATCTCTATTACACAGTAGAGCCTAAATGTGGGTTCCATGACTAAGTTCATAAATGAAAAGCAGAACAGTGCTTGGCACATGGTAAGCCCCGTATAAGTCATGACTCAGGGTTATCTTTTGCAGGCCTACAGGCAGGCACCTGTGTTCTCTGGACGGGAAGCATCTGGAATGCACCCTCGCTCGTGCCATCCAATAGTTTGGATGCGTTTCCGTTCTCCCCACCAAGACAAACCTTCTCAGATCCTGGGGAGCCAGGTTAAGTCCTCTTTCCCTCTCCTCTCCCAGGATCCCTGGTCCAACCAATCATCATAACTCTCCTTTTCATAACTCCTGTATCATTTTCTCAGTTCATTCCACACACTTGAACTGAGCATTGCCATCTGTTAATTAACATAGGCTTCATCGGGACACCAAATCATGCTCTATTCTGTGATATTTTTAAACTGTGGTATGAATGTTTGCCTTGTGTCTCATGGGATTATTGGGCCTTGAGGGAAAAGATCATATATATACAGTATAGTATGTCCCCCGGCCCCAGGATCGATCTTGCACATACAGCAGGGGGTCAGGAGACTTATCAGGCTAGAGGACGTGGGGGGCAAAAGAGGCCAAACTGTCCACGTTTTGTTGAATCTAACATAATACATTCTTGTTGAATCGAGTTGAAATAACACTGGGTCTGAAACATAGTCCTGGGTTTTCATACTTCGGTCCACTGCAACACCCTTGTTCTATTCTGTTGCGTATGAAAGAGGTCAAGAATGTACAGAGTTCCTACATGCAACATGGTAGCAAACACAAATGGGGTGTCTGAATCCAAAGAGTCCAGTGATATATATATATGGAATCTAAAAAAAAAAAAAAAAAAAAAAAAAAAAGGTTCTGAAGAACCTAGGGGCAGGACAGGAATAAAGACGCAGACGTAGAGAATGGACTTGAGGACGGGGAGGGGGAAGGGTAATCTGGGACGAAGTGAGAGAGAGGCATGGACATATATACACTACCAAATGTAAAATAGATAGCTAGTGTGAAGCAGCCGCATAGCACAGGGAGATCAGCTCGGTGCTTTGTGACCACCTAGAGGGGTGGGATAAGGAGGGTGGGAGGGAGACGCAAGAGGGAGGGGATATGGGGATACATGTATACGCGTAGCTGATTCAATTTGTTATACAGCAGAAACTAACACAACATCGTAAAGCAATTACACTCCAATAAAGATGTTAAAAACAAAAACAAAAAAGCAGAGTCCAGTGATGACAGAATAAATACACGGGGCCTGTAAGAAAGGTGGACTCTGTGATGAGTGATGGACTCTGCACTGCGACTCAGGGGGCTTTGCGGTTAAAAGGAGCGTGTGGGTGTTTCTAGATGGGGAGTCCTGAAAGTAAATGAAAATTCATTTACTTAACAATTATATACTGAGAGGCCAGCTTCTGGTCCAAGGCTATCCTGGGTGTTGGAGCTTCACGGGGGAGGTTGGAGGATAAGATTAGCACCTGGTCCCTACACCCCCCGCCAAATATAAACGCAGAGGTCCAGATTCTCTTCTTTTAGTGTTTATTAGAGAGGTATTCCAGTGCTGTCATTTTTTTCCCCCGATGCAAAAGGCATCCCGGGGAGCAGGAGACCAATAGTGTGCTTCTTGCCCCGGTATCATGTTCTCCGGGCTGCAGAGCCGGTTCTTCTCAGTGGCTCACTGACATTCCCAGCCAGCATTTGCTCCCACGTTCATAGTCTCCTGACTGTGCTGACTGCACCAATGAGAGCTACGGACACTGTTTGTCATTTGTTTTCTTCCAGGATTTTTTTCCCCGGAAACCATCCCGTCAGAGGCGTGCAGGTAATGAAAGTTGGCAAATTGCAGTTACATCAAGGCATGTTTCCCCAAGCGATGAAGAATCTGAGGCTGGTGAGTGTGCCAAGATCGCATGTAGCTCTGCCTGGAATACCTTTTCCTGGTTGTTGCTAGGCCTCTTCCTTGTGATTTCTAGCAACACTACACACGTGTGTGTATGTACGTGTGCAAGCACACATATGTACACACACGCGTATTTGTACACAAAGACGTACCCTTAAATGTTAAAAACCAGCTTCAAAAAAAAAAAACTGATTTGTGATGTTTGCCAATGTCTTTGGTATAAACATGCCCACCGTTGCTGATTTTAAACTCCCAATGTCAAATCAACCAGTTCACAAGAATCAGTAAAATTTAACAATCAATTCCTACTAACTGGTGCAAACTGGCCTCAGACACCACTGCGCCTGTGCCCTTCTCCACTGTAGACAGGCCACCCTTGTCCATGCCTCCCCACCCACAGAACAGAATCCACATTCCCAGCCCCTTGACCACCTGTCTGCAGACCACCCTTGCAGCCTCGTCACCTCCAGCCTCCCCCCGCCTACCTACACACACACACACAGAGCTGGTGTACACTGAGCCGCTCACCGTTGCCCAGGCATGGTCCTTTCCAAGCTGTCTCCTTTGCCTTATATGCCCTCCCCCGACCCCAGCCCCTGGGCCTGGCAGAACTGTACTAACCCTTTAAGGCCCAGCTGAAATGTTGTGTCCTCCCTGCCCTCCTACAACTCCGCTCACTCTGCCAGCTGAGCACTCATCACAGGGCAGCTGGAATACCTGCTGCCCTGCACCCCAGGAGGCTGTGAGGTCTGAGACTTAGGAAGTATCCACTGTTGGAGGAAGGGAGGACGGGAGCGAGGGCGAGAGGTCAATACAGTGCTAGCAGTAAGTGCAGAGAAACTCAAGGGGGAGAACTGGGTCCGTCTTGGAACGCAGTGTTAAAGAGTGAATTTTGGGCTTCCCTGGTGGCGCAGTGGTTGAGAGTCCGCCTGCCGAGGCAGGGGACACGGGTTCGTGCCCCGGTCCGGGAAGATCCCACATGCCGAGGAGCGGCTGGGCCCGTGAGCCATGGCCACTGAGCCTGCGCGTCCGGAGCCTGTGCTCCGCAACGGGAGAGGCCACAACAGTGAGAGGCCCGCATACCGCAAAAAAAAAAAAAAAAAAAAAAAAAAAAAAAAAAAAAAAAAAAAAAAAAAAAAAAAAAAAAAAAAAAAAAAAAAAAATAGAGTGACGCCTGTCCTCACCCTCTCAATGAGTCTCCTCTGCCACTAGGGCCCAGGGCTCTCTGCTGTCTTGGCCTTTCCACCCTGGCAGAGCACCCCCTCACCCAAACCGTGGCTTCCAAAGGCAGAGCTCATGTGCTTGTCGGATCCAGGCACTGGTGGCGGCTATGGAGAGCTGGTGTGTGGGGTTTCACGGGCAGCACCTGGCACTTTCCCGGGTCCTCTGGGCCACGATGCCCTTGTCCGCAGAAGGGTGGAGAGACCCGGGCCCTGAATCAGGATCTCTCAGGCGGTGTCTAGGGGCTGGCTGATCCACATTTAGATGGGAAAAATAACAGATGCCTAAGGGATTCTTAGAAGTGAGATTCCCTAATGCTGGTTTTTGTTGAATGCTAGCCCTGTTGCCTTTTCCTGGTCTCTAACTGAAATCAGCCCGTGGTCAACAGGGAGAACACCAGGATGCCTGAAGTTGGCCAGCGCTTCCTGTTCTCTTTGCCTTGTCTGACATCTTTACCAGACTAATGGGAGAACACTGGAAGGCTCCTGCGGTCTCAGGAGAACTTTCCTTTTCTGGTCTGGCTAATGGTTGTCAGCCAGTCAAATCAGTTGGGCAGAAAAGACTCATTGAGGGTCTACTCTGTGAATGTTCTGACAGGAAAACAACGTGGAGGAAATTTCCCATGTATATGATGGACCCAACCCAGGGTCACCTCCAAGTAGGTATTTTATAAGTGATCAAATTAGTCCTTGATGTTTTATGGGACTAGAAAGTATTAATACTGCTCACACGTACATGACTGATCTGGCCCTCATGACAGCTGACAGCCTTCTGAGGCCAGTGGGCCAGGCATTTTCGTGTCCATTTGAAAACTGAAGGAGCTGAGACTTGGAGTCACGCTGAACCAGAGCCAGGTCCAGTGTATTCGATTTAATCTAACATGTGTTGATTAAATGCTTCTATTAATCTGAATAAGGCCCAGTGTTGTCCTCACAGTTTAGTGGAGGAGACAGACACCTGAACAAGTCATCAGATCCAGACTGGAATCCGAGGCTCTAGACTGGCCCAGCAAATGATTGAGACTCTCTAGTAAGACTCAGTGTAGAAATCCCTTCAGATCCCGCTGAGCTCCTTGGTGCCAACTCAGAGGAGGATGTGAAAGAGAAACCTGAGGGGATTTGGATCTTTTCTACTTTCCACGTGAGGCTTTATCATTGCCATCGCACGCAGGACTCTTGATGGAGACATCTCATGCCCTCAGCTGCAAAGACAAGCGTGAACGAACCCACACTGACGTCTAGATACAGATTTACGGGATATTTGTGGGCCAGGCGGATCACCAGTCCTTCTTGTGACACTCTTATTGCCCTTTTATACCCTTCGTGCCCTGTTCCATTCTGTCTTCCTCACGTCCTTCTTGTGAGCTTGCCTCATTTCCTCCAGAAGCCTCCCTTGGTGATTGTTTTAGCATCTTCTGCTCCTGGTACCAAAGATAAGCCCACATATGGACCCTGACAGCTGCCAAATGAAAGACCTCGGAGCGGCATCAGAACGTCTGTCGTGAGGCCTGGCGTTAGTCATGGGCTTACCCAAACTTCCCGCTTGGCTCTGGAAAAGACACGGAGTCTCCTGGGTTCTGATATCGACCAGAAAGCAGATGTTCCCCCCCGGCAGTGTCACGTAGTAGGAAGACACTCGGATTCAGAGTTCAGGTTCCAGTCCCGTCATTTACTACGTTTATGACTTGAAGCAAGTCTCAATCCCTCTGAACATAATTTTCTTATTTTAAAAATGAGGATCATACCTACCCCATAGAGTTATTTTAGAAGTAGATAAGGTAGTGCGTAAGGGTATGTTTGGCTGAGTCCCAAGTGTTTGGAGGGTATAAAGGATTATTATTGTTTGTTTAAGAACCCTTTTTCTGATCACTCCCTCACTACCCAGTCCCTTTAGCACTTGCGTTTGGAGTTTGGGGTTATATACAGTGTTTCCCTTGTTGAACAATTATATTTATAGAACTGCTTCCCAGCAGTTCACATGGGTGTGTTTCATTTCCTGGAGGTGAGTGGGAATTCCACAAGATACCTTTTGTATCTCCTGGGGCTACCAAACCTAGACACATGCCCTGAACACAGCAAGTTCTATCACGTACACCTACTTGAATGAATGGATTTTTTAATGAGGAGAGGTCTTTAAAAGCACCACCCTGGCCCTCTTCTTTTAGCTAATATGTATATGTACTACGTATGTGGCTAGTGGACCAGATCTTCTCAGGACATATGCTGACCATTTACTAGCAGGGTAAGGTTCTGCTCACCCAATTCCAATGTGTGGCAGGGGTCTTCCCGCTTCAACAAGCAATTCTCAGACACAGCTGGGTGTCCTACGGTTCAACTCAATTCTGACACCATTTACCTGGAGATGGCATCAGATCCCACTGCCCCACGAGATCGCCTTCCACACTTCAGATGCCAGTCACAAGCCCAGGTTGTCACATATGCTTCAGACTGACTGGCTATGGCTTAGAGGTGCCAAGGATGCCACCACAGTTTTGATTGATTTGCTAAAGCAGCTCACAGAATTCCAAGAAACATTTTACTTACTAGATCACCAGTTTATTATAAACGGCTATAAATCAGAAGCAGCCAGACGGAAGAGATGCACATAGGGCATCTCTCCGAGTTCACTGCTTTCCATGAATCTCCATGTATTCACCAACCTAGAAGCTTTCAAACTCTGTCCTTGTGGGTTTTTATGAAGGCTTCACTACAGAGGCATGACTGATGAAATCACTGGCCATTGGTGATTGATTCAACCTCCAGTTCCTCTTCCCTGAAAGTTCCAACCGTCTTATCATATGGTTGGTTTATCCTAGCAACCAGCCCCCATCCTTAGGTGCTTCTAAAAGTCACCTTATTAAAATAATAAAGACACCTTGATCATTTTCATCACTTAGGAAATTCCAAGGGTTTTAGGAACTCAGTGCCAGAAATAGGGATGAAGACCAAGTATATATTTCTTATTGTATATCACAGTATCACACAGAGGGACAGCCTGCACACCTCCATCTTTTTGCAAGTTCATAGCGCCTGTGAGTCTAGAAGCAGGGCAGTTTCGTTCTGCAGAAAGTCTCTCCTCCCGAGCTTTCTCAGGGCTCAGGTAACCCAGAGATGGGCAAGGGAAGGTATATTCTTGCCTTTTTTAAATTGATGTTCTCTTTAGACTGGCACCCCCAGACATTTTTCCTTAGAAACTCTGGAAATAACAGGATGAAAGAGTCTGAATAAGGGTTTCAAAGGCTGAGTTTTCAGAAACAAAAATTAGGTACAGATTCAATTAGGCCCGGCCTCCTCCAGGAAAGGAATCCTCTTAGCCCAGCTCTGATTTGGTTTAGGCTCCCATCTCCCCTGGGCTCAGCTGAAATTCTTGTGATTGCTGCCACAGGACAGTCCTGGGCTCCCTTCACCGTACCTCCCTCTTGCTTTTTCCTGTCTCTAATCTATTTTCATTTCTTTCCATTTATTTCTTAGAAGAATGTTGTTAGCCACTAATTTGACTTCTTGGACCTCAGGGGCAACCATTCTCAACTGGCCTGTCTTGTCAGCGAGCCTGCTGCTTTTCTGTGCGCTCTGCGCGCGGCCAGCTCCCTCACCCTGGGCTAGGCTAGCTGCTTTGTTAGTAGTGCCTTGTTAACTGAAGTCAGGCTGGGAAAAGGCAAACTTCTTCCCCCTCGATAACCATTTTTTTTTTTTTTTTTTAGATGTTGGGGTAGGAGTTTATTAACTTATTTATTTATTTTTGCTGTGTTGGGTCTTCGTTTCTGTGCGAGG